GTCTCCCCGGACCCTGCATTCACTATATCTCCCCGGACCCCTGCATTCACTATATCTGGTCTCCCCGGACCCGGTCTCCCCGGACCCCGCATTCACTATATCCGCTCTCCCCGGACCCTGCATTCACTATATCTGGTCTCCCCGGACCCCGCATTCACTATATCCGCTCTCCCCAGACCCCGCATTCACTATATCCGCTCTCCCCAGACCCTGCATTCACTATATCTTGTTTCCCCGGACCCTGCATTCACTCTATCTGCTCTCCCACAGTACACAGGACATGCAAATGCAATTATTTTAGTAAATATAAACTGCTAAATACCTTTTCTCATCAGCAGTATATAGCAGTCTTGTGACTTCTATCAGTGTCCAGCAGAGCACTGGTTAAAGCTTGTAGGAGGAGTTTTCATCTCCTGTAGAAGGATGCAGGAACCCCTGACCCTCTGTCTGGACAGTGCTGCCTTTTATGTTATAAATCTGTAGAACTGTCAATACCTTTTGATGTTATTTCTTTTACAGTTTTTGTGTCACAGATTAACTTTCTGAGTCATCTCATCTTTTTTATAGAAGTCAGATAATACATTTTTGTTCAGCATTTTTATTTCCTGTTTGCTAAGGTAAACATAAGAGCACATTCAGACTCCATTCACACTAAGGCCTCTTTCACACAGGCGTGCCGTATGTCCGTTTTTCATCTGTCCATTTACGGATGAAAGATGTACCCCCATGTATTTCTATGGACTAGCGTATGTAAACGGATGATCATCTGTTTACATCCGTAAACTTTTGTTTTTATGAACGTAAGAAATCCTAACAAAAAAACAGAAAAATGGATGTAAACGGACATACGATACGTTTTTGCATTAGTAAAGGATGTAAAAAAACGGATGTAAACTGATGAAAAACGGAATGGTTTGCTTTCTCCCTGGTGCCAGGGTTCGGCACAGGGCCGGACTGACCATTTGGAAACTCGGACACTGCCCCAGGGCCCGGGGTCAGTAGGGGCCCCATGAGATGCCCCTGGTACCTTTTTCATAGGCTTTTTTGAGTTTGGGCAAGGACACAGGGGCCCCATGATCCCCTTTTGCCCGGGGGCCCCATGAGTTGTCAGTCCGCCCCTGGTTCGGCATGTGGTACACTGGGTTGATAAATTACTGGGAGGGGCTGAGCATGACCCAGCTGTCTTGGTTCATGTTGGAACCAATGACAGAATACATGGAAGGTGGAGGCTCCTTAAGAATCAACTTAAAGAAGTAGGCTGCAAGTTGAAGGGAAGGACCTCCAAGGTGATATTCTCTGAAATATTACCTTTGCTATGCACAACACAGGAAATACAGCGGGAGATTAGAGAACTCAATGCATGGCTGAACACCTGGTGTAAGAGGGAAGGATTTGGGTTTGTAGAGCACTGGGCTGACTTTTCATTGGAGTGCAATCTATATGCTAGAGATAGTTTGCACCTAAATGGAAGGGGGTCTGCTGTGCTGGGGGAAAGGTTTATGGGGAGGCTGGAGGAGTATTTAAACTAGAATTGAGGGGGGAGGGAGAATTAGATTATAACGGGGTAGACAGATCAGACAGGGGTCAGTAGTTATTGGTGGGGGGAATGGGGAAAGATGGTGGGAGAGCTATGGCAGGTGATAAGAAGGTTCCCATGTTACAAGCAACCATTGGAATTGGTACCATTTGTATGAAAATGAAAAATATGCAAAATATGTGTGCAAAAGGTGTCAATGCCATAAAGTGTTTGTTCACCAATGCCAGAAATCTGCAAAGCAAAATAGGTGAGTTGGAAGCTTTGTTGCATGAAGAGAACTAGGATTTAATTGGTATTGCTGAATCTTGGCTTCATTCTTCACATCACTGGGCCATTAATATTCCTGGCTATGTTCTCTTTCGGAGAGACGGGGGAAATAGGAAAGCTGGTGGTGTCTGTCTCTATGTGAGAAATGATCTCAGAGTGAGTGTGAAAGAGGACCTAGTTGATGGAGAGTGTGATGAGGCTGAAGTATTATGGGTGGAACTGCACATGGTGGTGCGTACTACAAAGGTAATCATAGGAATTTGTTATAGGCCTCCCAGTGTTAATGAGGAGGTGGAGACTCAGCTCCATGCACAGATTGAAAAGACTGCAAGGGCTGGGACAGTGATAATAATGGGGGATTTTAACTACCCGGAAATTGACTAGAGTAATGGTACTGCAGGAACAGTTAAAGGGCAAAAAATTTTAAACCTACTACAGGACAATTTTATGGTACAGTTCATAGAAGCCCCAAATAGGAATGATGCTCTGCTGGACCTGGTCATCTCCAACCATGCAGAGCTTATTACAAATGTCCATATAAAAGAACATCTGGGTAGCAGTGACCATAACAGGATTTCATTTATTGTTAGCTGTAAACAACAAGCACATACGGGAAAAATAAAAACACTCAACTTTAAGAAAGCTAATTTTCCAAAGCTGAGAACTGCTCTCCAAGACTTGGACTGGGAGGGAATATTGGCATCGATGAACACAACACAGAAATGGGAGTTCTTCAAACAAACTGGATGTGAACACACTAAAGTGGTAACCTGTAAAGGCTTTTAAAGCGTTGCCTATGGATATTAAAATTTACCTTGTTTGTCGCCGTTGCACGGGTGTTCGCAATTTTTTATTTCAATGGTTTTTATTAAATTTATTAAACAGTATAAACAGAGGCAATAAAACACGCCCACGCAGGGGCTATCAATTGCACAGATAAACAAAATGCAAAATAAAAAAAAAGGGAAAAACAATGCTCTAATGCCAACAGGGCAAAAGGTACGCCCACGCAGGGGCTATCAATGGCACATAAGATACAAAACATTAATGTAACTGATTATAACAACTAAATGCAGCTGTCCAGTCACACCAAAAACAGAGAGAGAGAGAAAAAAGAAAAGAGAAAAAAAAAAAAAAAGGGTGGGGGGGGGGGGCAAAGAGCAGGGATTCAAGAGCGCCAATACCGAACGCCATTACATCCCCAGACTAGCCAGGGGGAGTGAGGGAAGGGCGTATTGCAACCACGGCTCCCAAATTTTCAAAAAGTTTTGCTGGGAGTCGTTGCGGATACTCGACATCTGTTCGTTGAGCATCATAGTGGTCATACGATCCCGCACCCCCTGAAGAGGGACAAACGGACTCTTCCAGGCCTGAGCAATTGTTCTAGTGGCCGATAAAAACAGATAGGAAGCCAACTTCTGCTGGTGAGCCAAGAGGCCTGGTATGGGGCAATGAAGCAAGGCATACCGAGCATCCCGGCGTATGGAGAGATGGAACAAGGTGAAAAGGAGGCCAAATACACGAGACCAAAAACGAAACAGTCTCGGGCATGACCACCAGATATGTAATACATCTCCACGATGACCACAACACGAAAACATTGATCACTACAGGCAGGGTTAGCCTGGGCCAACCGAGCCGGAACCCAATACCAACGAAACAATACCTTATAGGCTGCCTCCAGTGTGGTCATATTAAAATGAGCATTTAGCTATGAGTGACCAGGCCTTATTCCAGTCCTCCGGATCCACAGCCACTCCCAGGTCGCGCGCCCACTGAACAACATATGAAAGAGAAGTATGCGACGAGCGTCTGTTCAGAGCTGCATAAAGAAGGGATATAAGGCCCGGAGAGCCCAGACGCAGTTGGCAGAGCTGTTCAAAGGCAGATTTCTGGTACGGGAACGCAGAAGTACCCTGCAGCGAGAGCAGCCAGTGTCGCAATTGAAGATATCGGAAAAATTCCGCCGGGGGGATATTCCGGGATTCCCGAAGAGAGTCCCAGGTGGGAAAGGACCTAAAAATCAAAAAGTGTCACACCTGCGAAAAAACCATTAGTCACCCACCAAGAAAACGCCCCTGGGTGATCCAAACCCGGCGGGAAAAGAGGGTTGTTAATAATTGGGAGCAAAGGCAGAAAAGGTGACATCAGACCACCTGTCAGGCTCCCAGGTATGACCAGAGGTGTGTGGCTGACGCAGGGAAACGCAGACCTCAGATATGTTATAAACAATATAATTTATTAACACTAACAGTACAAACATAAACGCAGTGCAATACTAAAACATAATACGGTGCAAACAAACCAAACCAAACCACCCACAGATAACAGTATATACAAGCAAGCGTCGTCAGGCAGGCCGGGTCAATATCAATTGGGCAGGTAGGTACAGGGGGAGCAAGCGGAGAATGGTCGGGGTCACAGGCCAGGTTCAGCAGGTAGCAAGCAGCATAGTACAGAGGGTCAGGCAGAGGGATGGTCCGGGTCACAAGCCAGGGATCAGAACAGGTAGCAAGCAGCGTAGTACAGAGGGTCAGACAGAGGGATGGTCAGGGTCACAAGCCAGGATCAGAGCAGGAGAAGTCAGCAAAGGAACAGAAACAGGATGCAGGACAGATACAGGGCCCAGGACAAACACAACACCAAGGCAGAGTCTGCAAGTCTGGCCATCCCTTAAATACACCAGTATCATCAGTTCCAGGTGTTAGCTGGCTGAAAGGTTGAGTCTCTGATTGCTGGGAGCACCCCGCTGGCCAGCCCTGGTACTGCAGATCAAAAGGCAGGTGAGTCCCACCATTGCTGGCCAGTCCATTCCTAACAGTACCCCCCCCTCAAGGAGCGGCCTCAGGACGCTCCAAACAGTCCTAGCTGGGCAAAATGTCCCACCGCCCGGGTCTGGCAACTGGCGGGATATCAAAGACTGGCACACCGGGCAGGACTCCGGGCAGCGGCACACCGGCTGGACTCCGGGCAGCTGGACTCCGAGCAGCGGCACATCGGGCAGAGGCACACCGGGCAGAGGCACATCGGGCAGGACTCCGGGCAGAGGCACATCGGGCAGAGGCACATCGGGCAGGACTCCGGGCAGAGGCACACCGGGCAGAGGCACATCAGGCAGGACTCCGGGCAGAGGCACATCGGATTACCAGGCGAAGCAGCAGGCACCGGGCCCCCGGGCGGATCAGCAGGCACCGGGCCCCCGGGCGGGGCGACAGGCACCGGGCCCCCGGGCGGAGCAGCAGGCACCGGGCCCCCGGGCGGGGCGACAGGCACCGGGCCCCCGGGCGGAGCGGCAGGCACGGGCCCCCGGGCGGAGCGCAGGCACCGGGCCCCCGGGCGGAGCGGCAGGCACCGGGCCCCCGGGCGGAGCGGCAGGCACCGGGCCCCCGGGCGGAGCGACAGGCACCGTGCCCCCGGGCGGGGCGACAGGCACCGTGCCCCCGGGCGGGGCGACAGGCACCGGGCCCCCGGGCGGGGCGACAGGCACCGTGCCCCCAGGCGGGGCGACAGGCATCATGCCCCCAGGCGGGGCGACAGGCATCGTGCCCCCAGGCGGAGCGGCGGGCGCCAGACCCCCAGGCGGAGCGACAGGTCTCGGGCCCTCAGGCGGAGCGGCGGGCGCCGGACCTCCAGATGGAGCGACAGGTCTCGGGCCCTCAGGCGGAGCGGCGGGCGCCGGACCCCCAGGTGGAGCGACAGGTCTCGGGCCCTCAGGCGGAGCGGCAGGCGCCGGACCCCCAGGCGGAGCGACAGGTCTCGAGCCCTCAGGCGGAGCGGCGGGCGCCGGACCCCCAGGAGGAGCGACAGGTCTCGGGCCCTCAGGCGGAGCGGCGGGCGCCGGACCCCCAGGTGGAGCGACAGGTCTCGGGCCCTCAGGCGGAGCGGCGGGCGCCGGACCCCCAGGAGGAGCGACAGGTCTCGGGCCCTCAAGCGGAGTGGCAGGTGCCGGACCCCCAGGCGGAGCGACAGGTCTCGGGCCCCCTCAGGCGGAGCGACAGGTCTCGGGGGCCCCCAGGCGGGGCGGCGGGCGCCGGATCCCCAGGCGGAGCGGCGGGAGCTGGACCCCCAAGCGGAGCAACAGGTCTCGGGCCCCCAGGCGGAGCGGCGGGCACCGAGACACCAGGCACGACAGTGGGCTCCGAGTCAACTGGTATGACCGCAGGCACTGGGTCAGACATTGGATCGTCTGACCGGACAGCGGGCATCGGGTCACCAGGCATCAAGTCATTTGGCTCGACAGCGAGCACCGCGTCATCTGGCAAGGCAGTGGGCTCCGAGTCAACTGGCATGACCGCGGGCACCGGGGCAGACATTGAATCGTCTGGCTGGACAGCGGGCATCGGGTCACCAGGCATCAGGTCATTTGGCTCGACCGCGGGCACCGCGTCATCTGGCAAGGCAGTGGGCTCCGAGTCAACTGGTATGACCGCGGGCACTGGGTGGATCGCTGACTGGCCGGGATCGGGCCCCGGGCATCAAGTCATTTTGGCTCACAGCGACCCCGCGTATCTGGCAAGGCTTGGGCTCCGAGTAACTGGCATGACCGGGGGGCAGGGGGGCAGACATTAAATCGTCTGGGGACGCGGGCATGGGCACCGGGGCATCAGGTCTTGGCTCGACAGCGGGCACGCGATCGGGCAAGGCTTGGTCTCCGAGTAACAGGCACGCGTGGGTAAAAGGGACAGTAACTTCCATTTTGTTTTGTACGCCTTTTTAAGTATTAAGTATTAATTAGTTTTTGTAGGATATTAAAAGTTTAATGAAACTGTTTTCAGTTGTTCAGGTGTATAACAGAAGCTAAAAACGACCCTGACAATTTTTTTTGGGTTTGTTTTCTCTAAAGTTGCAAAAAAATTTGTACCAGAAATTTGGGATATGTTTTTGTTTCATGTAGTTTGTCATGATGGAAATTTTAAGTTACGTTTTGAAACCGCTCCCCCCTCCCTTATATTTCTGTGTCTATATAATCTTATTAATGTCTTTAAAAAATTTTAACATCTCTGAACATTGCTGTCGTGATTTCCGTGTTAAGGGGTGTTCCCGGGAATTTTGCTGATAAAAAAGGAATCTCCCACAGACCGGGGGTCCTGAGGGGAAAAAAAAATCATTCCCTTTTAGCTGGGGGCTCGGCCCGGGATGACCCCCCACCTCACTTGGGAAGAAACCTTTTGTCTTTTTATGACAAAAAACTTTTCTTGCCTTGTTGAGGGAGGTCTTAAACATTCTGTATTTTCTATATAGACCCCTGATAACCCGAGCTGTTTTGGGAAAGCAACTTAACTTTGGGAAGAGTTTCAAAATAGTGCACTTTAATTAAAAAAAGGTTTTTGGGGAAAACGTTTCCCGTTTTTTTTTTAAAAATGAAGAGTAATTTGGAAGTTTCAAAAGGTTTAAGGTGGGCCAATTCTGGTTTCTGTCTTTTGCTTTTTCTTTCTGTTGCGTGAAGTTAAGATAAAATTTTTTTGTGGAACAAAAAAGATTTTTTGCTAAATTGTTTTATCCCTGTCTAAATAGGGGCAAGGGGGTGTTACCCACCAGGTTCCCCCCGAAAGGGAGAAAATTGTAAGGATTATTGCTAGAGTTTGTGGATCGGACTATTATTTAATAAAACCCTGGGTGGATTTTATGGCGGTTTGGACAGAAGTTGGGGAGTTTCGACCCCCTT